GATAGGATGAAAGATGAAAGAATTAGCGGATTATTATTAGCCATGTGAGAAAGAAAAAGAAGAGAGAGAGAAAGAGATGACAGAAATGAATTAAAGTATACAACAATAAATGTGAGATAAGGAGAGATGTATTATATATCACCGATATAAGAATGAAAATCGTACCATAGACTCCAGCTGTGTGACCCTGAAATAAGCAAATTACGGTGGCAGGGGGCGGGACTAATTGGCAGACGGAAATCTGGCCGTCCAATGAGCAGCAAGCAAGGCGGGACTTGTCGTCGTGAGCAAATTTAACGCTCGTTACTGTTAACAATTTTTTAATTTGTTTCTCATGAAAAAATACTTTTAGTTTAGATAACCATGACGTATTTTCCTAAACTTTCCACTCAACCAGTCAATTGACTTACCGGCCATTTTATGCTGATCAAAGATATGATGCACTCCAGAGAACGAATAATTCTCACTAATCGTCTGCTCCCCGGCCATCGCTCGACTGGCCCCGGCCAAGCTGGTCGGCGTTATGATTGGCTGTTGATCATCCAATCTAAATCTTTCGAGGAATTCCTCTTGCATTCTATTTATATCTTCTTGCTGCTGCTGCTGCTGCTGTGAGTGATGTTGGTAGTGCTTGAATAAGCTGTCTTCACTGTGCTACGGTTGAGAAAGAGAGAGAGAGAAAGTTAAAGCTTATTGAAAAAACATATCAAAGACAAACAAAACAAACAAAACAAATAGCTAGACCAGGCTTTCAACAATAATTAAACATAAGAATGACTAACGGCGAATCTTCCAGCTGATGATCTTGTGCTAGTTGTATGACTTCTTAGGCTGCTATTGTGTTAAATATGAAAAAATATAATTAATAATAACTAAAATTATTAATAATAATAACAACAACAAACAATGACAACATTAGCAATAATAATAAGAATAATAACAAAGTTAAGTAGCCTACCTCTGATCAAAAGTTGATGGAAGACCATATCTTTGTGACAATAATGTTGACCTAATTTTTAAGTATTCTTTCAAAAGAGTTGGGTCACGCTTTAAAAAGTTTTTTTTCTATATACACATATATTCATATTTTATTTAACTTTATTTATAATTATAAAATTCAAATTTATTAAAAATAAAGGTTAAATGAAAGTTTAAAATGAAAATAGCTTTCTCTCGTAATGCATCATTCAGAATACAAGTGAATCAATGCATTTGTATTCAGTCATTGCAGCAGCAGAACCAAGCATCTTAACTAGTACACTATCTCAACACTGCAACATAGAACCATACAGACATGCATGTAGGTAAACATACATCTAATGTAGATTTTTCTCTTAATATCTGGCTTCTTCTTCTTAAATAGAGAGTTCCTATTATAGCAAATAAATGGATGAAATGTTAAACTTAGTTAGCACATACTTTATATGCAACATATAGATAGTACAATACTAAACATATTTACAATGTAAATTTTACATAAAAATACCTACAGAATACAACAAAACACCATTATATACTGAGAAATACAACACAATTTAACATAAAAAAAACATATTTTTAAGTAGAATACAGATTAAATAAACTTTAAATATGGAAACTTACTAAACCACACACCAAAATTTTTTAAAGTTCCAACATTAAATTTTAAAACAAATACGAAAAATCGTTGACAAATTGACAATTAAAATTAAAAATGTAAACACGCCCAGAAACACACAACAAATGCTAACTGAATTGTGGATTATTTGGAGTTCTGAATACGTTATATTTGGCATCCAAGGCGAGAACGGCCATTGAACAAATCAGAAAAAACCATTTAAATCACCATAGCGTTAGTTAAGATGGCTATACATTTTTACTAAACAACATGCAACCATTTTTATTATAGAAAGCCGGATACGTTTTTTAAGTCATTAAAATAATTTAATGAAAATTGTTTATTTAATTGTAGTAATGGCAAATATAATAGAAATTATAAATATACATATAACCAATACACACAGTTATATAACATATATTTATTCGTGTACATTTTATATATATTAAACTTAGGAGTTTAAACCGATCTAAACCAAATCATACTTTGTAACTTTTGTTGATATCATTTATGAATAGGTAATCTCGAATGAAACTATTAAAAAAATGGCTACATGATGTACTATGTACTAAGAGTTTGCACTGAAGATTGTACTAATAAGCGTACTGAAAAATGATTGCTACCACAAACCACACCTGAATTTTTGAAATCTTAAATAAAGATATTCCAAGGTTGAATCTTAGAAAAAAATTTCAAAATTCGTGCAATGATTTGGCTTTTATTGGGTGAAAAATTGTCAAAAATATAAAAACAAAGCAAAACATGACGTGTAAACACGATTAAAATAGGTAATCGGAACATTGAAATATTGTAACAAAGTCAAATTAAATAATGATGAATCCATGTTGGTGATCGCGTTAGTATTATTAGTTAGTGACAACAACAACAACAACAACAACAACA